GGCCGCGGTGGGGGCAGCAGGGTCAGGGGGGTAGCCTCGGTGCTGCGTGGAGCCGCAGTCTGTATCCAAAGGGAGACTGGTGAGCCTGTGGGGCTCTCCCCGCTCACGGGGTGGCGCGAGGCTCGCCCTCCTGGCCCAGGGCGCCCACCTCCTCCAGGTAGCCGAGGAGCGCGGACGGCACGCTGTTGGAGGCCGCTCTGCGCCAGCCTTCCAGGACCTGGGCGATCTGTGCTGGGTTGCTGGGGCTCAGATCACAAAGGGCGTACACGGCTGCTAGCTGGATGCCCCACGGGATATCTGCAAGGGATTTCCGGTTAATCGTAACACAGCAAGCAAGCACAGGACAGAGTTTTAATGCTGTCATCTACACACTTCCTACTCCAGCAGTAAATACTAGTGCTAGCCAATTGCAGATAAAATTTCTGTAAGAGCTGTATACTACTGGCCAAGCTCACAGGGCCTGGCGCAGTGCCCGGAGAACTCGAGAACACGATGCCACCACCGTGCAGCCCTGCGAAATCCCATGCCAGGCAGGGCTCATGAGCGGGCTCTGGACAAGAGTGCACCCCGCCCCACACTGCCTTGCCACACACCCTGTCCTGCCCACGTTCTGCTCACACCCCTCCTGCACACACCAGCTCTCCACACACTCCAGCCCTGCACACATTCTGCTCACACCACTCTGCACACACCCTGCCCCTAGACACCCAGTGCACATTCTATGAAATGCTAGTTGACGACTTACAATGTGTCATCACTGTTCTCTTCTAGCACAAGTTTATTTAGGAGTCATTTAATTAAAATTTACTGAAGCTCAGCTTACTTAATTTAGTCTAGATTACTTAAGAGTGGACTCTACGCAGCCGTGCAGAAGGGACTGTGCAACAGGGCACACTAAGTGGGCGCCGCACCACCAGGGGTGCGTGGCCACCGAGTGGGCGTGGCCCAGTGCTCCGTACGGCAACTGCTCCAGGCATTCTGTACCCTGGCACACCTGCACATGCACAGCACGGAACTCAGGGATGGGACTCTGGAGGAAATGTGAAATTCATTTACATTTCATAGAGACCATCATGGATAGCCTAAGGGTAATTTTTATCAAATATTTTAATAATTTTATGAATGGAAGATGTACACTGGACAATCTCTGCCCATGGTGATCTATCAGCATCCAGAAACAGATTAGGAAAAAAATCTGTAAACTGGGTGTTAAGGACACCCAAACTGTATTAAAATAAACACACAGCACAGAACCTCCCCTATCCAACGGTGAGTTCTGACAATGCAGGCGCCGCTCCTGCTCTAACAGCTTCCTCTCCAACTCACAAGCACTGCAAGGAGGGCAGAGCTCCACAGGGCCCATGGGCAAAAATGCACTGGTAAGAACCAAATGCAGGGGTGGGGTGAGGGGACCCACAGCGGGGGTCTGCAGGGGCTGAGCTGAGTGAGGGCTCCGCCAGCAGACACACCTGCAAACTCAGATCTGGCAGGACACTTCCAGGCTCCTGAACGGAAGCAAGCCGCATGGCCCCTGGGCGTTGGTGTGTGGCGTGCAGACCCTGTCACGCCCAGACGGCTGCTGGCTCCCTAGCTGTGCGGTGTGCTGTGCCTCCTCCCAAGGGAAATGCCCGCCACAGCAACACAGCAAGTCCACACCACTGGCAAAAGGACTCGCTAGGCTCTATCCCCTTGAGACTGGGGAAAAAATGGGCTGTACCTAGCCACTGCCCTAAGTCAGGCAGGTGCCTGAGAGAAGCACTCCAGGAGACTCTTGGTGGTGTCAGGTCCAGTGACATGCTGAGTGCTACAGACAAAGATCTCTCAGCCAAGATAAGCTATGCGTCCAGGCCCGGCATAGGATGACGCTTCTAATGTTGAATTCACAACTTCCTACTGACACTCGCTTTTGAGAGTGACTCTGAGCTAAGCTTTGCTAAGGAAAAATGGCCTACCCTCTGGGCTGTGCCGCTGGTTAGCAGGGACAGGAATCCCCGCGGCTCCACTTGGCGGCCCTCACCCCCTCCTCACGGGAAGCAGGTGGCAGTGTCCATGCCAGGGCACAGCACCGCTGCCCACGGTCAGCAACTGCCAGCAGGAGGCCCGTGGAAAGCCAGCGCCATGGCCAGAGGACAGACAGGGCAGAGCAGAGGGAGAAAGGGAGGCATGGCCCAGCACAGCGCATGACCGCGCATCCAGAGGCCAAGCCCGGGGCGGAACACACGCAAATATTAACGCTGGCTGCGCTGGCTCACGTCCCAGGTACAAGCCAGGAAAGAAGCAGCAGGCTGAAAGACAGGCTAAGCGGCAGGAAAGCAATTTTAATGGAAGAGTTTTACCTTCGTCCTGAGCATGCTGTATGAACGTCCCAATCACAGAGCTAATATTTTTCACCGCAGTTGGAAATCCTTCCTTCAAACCCAATTGGCCTAATCGACCTGAAGCAAAGCAAACAACACATAAAGTCTCTGGTGAAATGCTGGTCAATGTTACCTAGCACTGCAAGCATATGTCTTCTGTTCTGTAACACTGAGCGCTGTAGGCCTGCAGAATGACGTCTTCAGTGAGAACGGGCTGTTAAAGAGCATTGTGTGGAGACTCAATGATGTGCTGTTTGTCTTCCAGGAGGTGCAGTGGGAAGGGAGAATCATCTGTTTGCACACAGCAAAGCTACTACACAACAAATTGAATGTGGAGGGCAGTGGCTGCGGCAGGCCGAGTGTGCGGTGGCCGGCATCAAGTCTAGAGCCAACAGCCACCAGTGTGCAATCCAGACACTGGACAATCTGCACAGAGCCCTTGGCTCCCCAGAGTCCTCAGATTGGGACCTGCCCCACGCTGGGGTAAGGACTGACACTGCAATATTATATTGCATGCCTGGTGAACCTCGCAACTGATGAGTGTGCAAATGCTTTTTGTGACCTTCTTGACTTCAAATCTGGAGAAACTGAGGCCCACAGTACTTACTTTGTCTGCCCCAAGGAACCAGTCTGGTGCCTGTTAACATACACTCTGAGGGTTGGGATGCAGGCATGGCCAGTAAATATTTAATGACTGTAGCATATATGGCTGATTCCTAATCAAGGATGACCCTTGAAACATGCAGATAGTTTATGGTTGAATGCTGTGACAGAGAGCCAGTAACTATGTAATGACCTCAGAAATCTGGCTAATTCCTGATCCAGAAGGACCCTGGAAACACCTAGCTGGTTCTCATGCTTTTGGGTAGTTTGCAAAGGTGGGATGGCTCACCAATCAGTCTCAGGACGGAGGCTATAATGACGTCGGGAGTGAAGGCAATGCTGGCGTGTCCTTTTCTGTACTTTATCCACTTATCCATTACAGGCCACAGCTCCTTACTAGAAAAAGACACGGAAAGAGATAAGCACATCAAGCAAAACTGTTCTGTTTTTGTTGCTGCGGCTGCTGGTACTGGGCCTTGAAGTCTGAACTCGGGGGTCCCGCGCTGATCAGCCTGCTGGCTCACAGCTGGCGCTGTACTCCATGAGTCGTGCTTTCTGCCGGACAACAGGAGCTGGGAAGCCCAGCTAGCTCTGAACTGCAGTCCTCCAGACTCCCACCTCCCCAGGGGTTAGGCGTGCAGGCAGGCACGTTCTCACACGCTGTCCCGAGAGCACGCGGAGGCAAGCATTCCCGTTCTCCCTAAGATAACAGGCACTGGGAGCTCAGATCCTCTCCAGCTTCTCAGGATCTTCGTGCCCACACTGGTTACAGGGGCTACAAATACCTGCGTCTTTACTCTGGTACAGTCCTTATTCTATAGTGACCCTTACATCACCAAATTAGGAAGAGATAGAATATGGACTCTGAGCCTCCAGTGGACCAGTGGATGTCAGACAAAGTCACAGGTACTCCAGGGCCAAGCCAGAGGGACCCGAAATGTCCAAACCCAAGCACAACATAGAAGGACAAACAAACTCCCATGACTGACAATCAGGCCCATTCCTCCTTTCATTCTCTTTCTTGCATGGTGTTTATTATTGTTGGAAATGATAAATGTGGACAAAGGAAAAACGAAAAGCAAAGAACATTCCAAAGGATGCTATCTCAGATACTACTGATTGTGACCTTTCTAGGTCAACTGCATGGTGAGGCCTGAGTTGCTGAGGAGAGGTGGGTCTAGCGCCAGACCCTAATCCTCCACGCTGTCCTCGCTGCTGGCTGGGAGCACTGTGTACAGAGCTTTCTCACATTCTGATGGTGTCGGCTTCTCCCCACTGGGGACAGAAGCCCCATGATTCATGAGAGGACTCAGATGCTCAGCTACTCAGTCAGGAACTGACCACAGGGTTCTGACACCGACTTACTTAGTAACTGATGATGAAATACTTTCCATGTAAATGCACAAAAATTCTACTTACAGTTATACATTTTTAATATTAAATACAGATATACACTAGATAAGTACATTTAACTCAACCTTATTCTACATGATACAATTCCTACTGATATTTGGATGTCTAACCTGTCCTAGCATTGGATGCCTAGGGTAAAAGAGCATCCTTGCACACAGAAAAATCTTTGCAAAGGCACTTTCTACAGTTTCCATTCTTCAAGTATTTCAGGGACCTAGTTTATCGACTCTTTACATTTGGAATGCTTTTTAATATCACAAACTCCCTTAAACCAGCCTTTCTCAGACAGGGTCCCATGAAAGTGTCTGAAGAACAACTGTCCCCACCCTCTCAGAAGCAGCATGTTAGAACTAGTGCTAGAATTACAGATGGACAGAGAACAGCTCAAACAGTGGAATCCTGGTGAATCCTGGCTGAATTTGGTCTCAAGTCAAGAGTGGCTAAACTGTAATTTGAAATATTTCTGTTCCTATGCATGTTTTCAGATTATCGGTATACTAAGAGAATGCTTTCTTTATTCTACACCCTCCTTTGTGTGGTCACAAGTCTACATGTGGAAGAAGAGTCCCGGTTCCTGAGGTCTCTCCTGCTGGGGAGAAGCAGTAACAAAATAGAACAAAAAGCAGTGAACAGAACCAAACACTAAAGCAACTGCTTGTGACGACAATGTTCTAGGGGAACTTTATCAACCCTCACTCAAATGAAGTTATCTGCAAGTATCTCAACCACCTTGTGTCACAAATAAAGACAACCAAAGCACTTAACATTCAATAGACCACCTTGCAATTAAAACAACGCTTTTTAAGTTAGCAAAACAGGCCACCTTATAATGTTATCATGTGTCCAAATCCATTTCTGATGGCAGCAAAGCAGATCGATGGCAAATATGTATTCCCACGTGTCACCACTGAGGTCTTCACCGTAGGTCTCGCTGGACTGGAACTCTGTCTTTGGACATAACTGTATGGTCAGCAGCAGCTTCGACACCATGACACCCACATCCATGGGCGCGCTCTAGCAGAAGAAAAGCGAATCATGAAGCGCGGTTCAAAGCCTGAGCCACACAGCATCCTGTTGGCAACCTCACTGAACACCAATAGGAAGGTTTTGAAAATCTTTCTAAGAAGCTATGGTTATCTTATTCATAATAGTTATCACACAATGACTGTGAGATGGGAGTGGTTGAAAATTACAGGCAAAATTCACTCAGGTAGAGAAGATCCGGCTGCACTCCAGAGAAGATGTAAGCTTCCACCATTATCTCTAGAGCATTAGTTCTAATCTTAGTTACCAAAAAAAATTCTTACAACTTCCTTTAAATTCTGTTTTCTTTCTGGCACTGGAAATTAGTCTGCCTTTTCTACAAAGTCCTAAAATTGACTCAGGCAGTACTACATAATTAAATCTTGCACGCTTCACATTTACGTGTGGTTGTTGGATATTGCTGCATGTAGATGCAGCGTGAATAGGTGAACTTCCCTGCTGACAGACATCTGGGTTACTGTGGCTCTGCCCATTCCACTACAAGTCTTTTTGGGGACAAAATCTTCACTTCTCTCCAGTAAATAAACACTCATCAATGGAGCAGGCAAGGCCTTCCCACTTCCAGCTCATATTGAACCTGATGTTTAACTATTGTTATGGTATAGATCATTTGATACTAGAATCATGTTTGCAACTAAAAATGTTAGAGGAGAATGTGGTTCAGTGGGCAATATCTGAATATTTAATGAATCCATTTCCTACATTCTAAATTTGATCTTTTGCATTCAGAAGTTGATTTAGTGCTTAGAATATTCTGTTGCTTAGTTTGAAGTGTTTTGAGGAATATGTTAAGTTTCTGATTACTTTAAACATCAATCACACCTAAAATACTGAAGTCTAGAAACAGCATCGATCACTGAGAAGAGGGCAATCTGATAAATGTGAGTTAGCCTAACACAAATCAATGGCTACAGTAACTCTGTTACCTTTGAAACTATTACCTGGTATACAACTAGAACATACTTTATGAATTTAAATTCTATTGTAACAGGTGAATAATTTTACAACTTTGAAACTGAGTAGCAATTTAAACCAGTCATTTCTAAAGTATACTCTGAAGGAGCTTTAACCCCACAGCATAAACTAGGTAGAGATGTTACTCTGAAAATGCCAACAGAGAGAATTCTTCCAAACATGGCACTGTGAGTTGTGTACTCCTAACCTGAAAATCTGAAACTCATGCTCATTATGCTCAAAAAGCTTTGGATTCCAGAGCATTCTAGAGTTTCAGAATGGGCAGACTCAATGTATAGTCTGCAAGTATTTCAAAGTAAAAGCAAAACAAACTAATTAATTCTTGCAATTGAATCACTCTGGATAGAGAATACTCCCTGTAGAGGGACCGTGCACGTGTGGCTGAGTGTCTGTGATGTTGGATATGGAAGGTCCTGTGCAAGTGACCTCTCAAACACTGACTTTACATCCCTAGAAAAGAGCACTCTCTCCTGTTACTAGAAAGCACTCTCCTCTAAAGAGCTAGAAAACAATCAGAGCTCTCTTCTCCCACGTCTAGGAAAACGATTTGAGCTCTCCTCTCCTGTGCCTAGTAAACAACTTGAGTGCTCCTCCTCAAGGCTTACTCCCAGGTCTAGAAAATGATTTAAGCTCTCCCCTCCCAGGTCTAGGAAACAGTTGGAGCTCTCCTTTCCTGGGTCTAGGAAACAATTTGAGCTCTCTTCACCCATGTCTAGAAAACGATTTGAAAGCTAAAACCAAAAATTTAATATCGTCAGATTCTCATTAGATAAAATATCCTACTTGGACATATTAGTAACTAAAGAAAAATCAAATAATATAAGGTAATGTGAGAAAAAAAGATTTAGAACAACATGCTCCATTAAGTAGAAAGATAAATATAAAACATTAGAATAAGAAAAAGCCTACCCATGGAAGAAATGGAGGATATCAACCGTTTCACCTCTCTAAATATTTGTGTAAAAATTAAATAATTCATAGCTCCAACAGCATTTGATTTATATACACTTGTATGTGAATTTCATCAGTCATAAATGAGTGTAAAAAGAAGTTAAATTAAGGCAGCTCCATTGTTCTTTCTGGACACAATCATGCTAAACTGGCATTTTATAGGACCTAATATGAGGAACAGCATCTCTAAATGGCCTAGGAATGAATACACAGCTAACACAGCATCATGTAGGTACGGTGCTCAAGCATGGCACTGTAAGAAATAAAAATAAAGCTCACCTTTTCCCAGTTGAGGAAGGCTCTCAAACAGTTGAGAACCTCTCCCTTAGCACGCTGCCTTGCAACCAACTGCATTGCTTTACTAATCACCGACTGAGAGACAAACACATCGTGCCACATGTTTGCAACAAACAGAGCCAGTTTCTCAGACTCCGGAAAATCTATGAGAAAGAAAACCGGAGAGTAAAATAACATATGCTCAAGTGAGTGAATTTTAAAGCCGCAAGTACAACGTATTAATCCCACCAGAGCCTTACAGCTGCCCTGTGGTTAGGGGCATATAAATGGATACTCAGATAAGATCTGACCTCAGCAACCATTTCAAACCTTCTCTCTTATTTCCTCTTGGCCACTTTTTTGAAGTTAACTTTTAAACATGGTATATAAATAAATAGCAGTAGAAGCAAAAGGTGAATGCAAACGCAGAGGTATGAGTTATAAAGATATTTGATGTAATGAGCCATATGTATATATATATATATATATGTATATATATATATGTAATGGATGTATATATGTGTATATGTGTGAATATATACATGTGTATATATATTCACATAGATAAAAACATATATATGCCCTATTTTTGTGACAATCCTTTTGTCATAAATCCTTGCTAAAAATTAACAAACTATGTATTCTTTTAAGTTTAGAGGTGATGTATTTTGACAAATTAATGAACCCAGGTAACCATCACCACAACTTGCTCTGTCCAACCTTGTTTGGGACACCTCACAGACACAGAGAATCCTTGATTGGCTTATGTCACTATGAGGTCTATGTCTTTTCATTCTCAAACTCTTTTCCATCTGGCTTTTCTACAGCACAATTCCTGAGACTCATTCATGATGTAGTCCATTCCTTTACAGCTAAGGATCATCTCCATTGTGTGGGAGGTCACAGTTCAATTTTCCATTCCCCTGCTGATCCACATCTGTTTCCAGTTATGGGCTATACACGGATATGTCTATTTCTATCAGTCATACGCCTAGCACTGGGAGTTTTAGGTCAACAAATGCCTTTATTTTATAAAAATGATTGAGTTTTCTGATGTCATTGTGAAGACTTTTAGCCGGTTTGTCATGAAGACATGTCTCTTTAATTTTTCTCTGACCTACCTCTTTATCTGTTGGTTTTTAACAGCCTGACTCCATCTGTTGATATTTCTTTCAAAATATTTTGCACACATATTCCCTGCCTAGAATTCTCTCTTCCCTTCTTTACTGCACACTTTCTCTGCATCTTCCCATCACAGAGCAAGTCCTTTGACAAGGAGCACTACCACTCTGTTCACACTATCAAAGCTACCATCCCAGGTCCAATCATTCACACAGTAGATGGTGCATGGTTACCAACAATTTGCAGAGGGAAACGAGAAGACACATTTGTTTTCTCAGAACGTGCAACCCAGAGAGTGAGAAGACAAAATGAATTTTATCATATGACATGGACCAGTTAAGGCCAGGAAGACAAATAAGAATAGAGGACACAGACTGAGGCGGAGTTATGTGTAGTCATAGAGTGAGCCATGATAAGGTGGAGGCAAAGAGGAAGAGGATCCCGGCTAGGAATAAACAGGGATGTGGTTGGGCCCAGATCCCTCTCCACTGCCCAGCACTAGTAAAGCCGGTGAGCTTCTGGGATGTAGCTATGGCCTTTCAGTCACTGTGAATAGTCACACCTGCATCTGATTTGGCCACCACAAAATTCCAAACACTGTGTGATGGCCATAATAATGATGTGATGAACAAATAAATCAGTGACTGAAGAAGCAAATATAGAAATAAAGTGGGCACCCTTTACACGGATTGTCTGATATAGTATGAAATAGCAATTCACAGACACTGATGATCTGTGGCACTGAAGGAGCAGCTCCTGATTCCATTCCTTACAAGAAACGGAAGACACAGTACTCCCCCCGACACCCTCCTTCTGTGTACCATGACTCCATCTCACAGCTGCTGCCATTACCACTGGCTAGCCATTGGAAGAGGAGTCCGGCATTATACTGCAACTAGGGGGGGGACTTTAAAATACACAGTAAGAAGCCGGGTGCCGGTGGCTCACGCCTGTAATCCTAGCTACTCAGGAGACTGAGATCTGAAATCACAGTTCAAAGCCAGCCCGGGCAGGAAAGTCCATGAGACTCTTATCTCCAATAAACAACTAGAAAACTGGAAGTGGTGCTGTGGCTCAAGTGGTAGAGCACTTGCCTTGAACTGAAGAGCTGAGGGATAGTGCCCAAGCCAAGTTCAAGCCCTAGGACTGACAACAAAATAAATAAAATACACAGTAAGGAAAGATACTGTATTTACAGAGAAGTAGAACTGAATGTGCTGACAACAAGTAATTTTAATTGTACTGAAAATCTGGTATAGCAAAGTTAGGTAGAATAGCAAAGCTGTCCTCTAGTAGACGTACAATACAACTCTACTTTAATAAAAGATAAACAATAAACGGAAGAAAACTACACATAAAAATGGACACAAAAATGTTTTAATCTAAACATACCTTCCTTAAGTAGGCTATAGCAAAACAAGCGAGCTCTTTCCAAGTCTCCAAGCTGCCGGCAAATGCCCACATACACCCTGCAGAGGGCATGGACATAACTGGGATCTATAGACTTCTTCTGAAGTTTTAGTTCTGAGAGAATGGAGCGAAGCAAGCGTTCTGCTAAATGCTGGATTGGAAGAAGGAAAAAGGCAAAGTACACTGTTATTTATGTCTAGTATCTCTAAAATTAGCTACGTATCACACAATTAGGTGTCTAAACTTGCACAGGACTAGAAGTACAACAGCAGCAAAGGAGCCACCAGCACTGGAGGCAATGAGCCATCCCAGGTCTGCCTGTTCCTTGTGGTGGATCATACAGCAGATGTCCAGGGCACACCCGGACTGCCTTATTGTCATCATTTCCAGGTTCTTTTTTTTTTTTTTTTTTGGGTCCGGTTGTGGGGCCTGAACTCTGGGCCTGGGCACTGTCCCTCAGCTCTTCAGCTCAAGGCTAGTGCTCTACCACTTGAGCCACAGCGCCACTTCCGGCTTTTTTCTTTTTGCTTATGTGGTGCTGAGGAATCGAACCCAGGGCCTCATGCATGCAAGGCAAGCGCTCTACCACTGAGCCACCTTCCCAGCCCCATTTCCAGGTTCTTGCAAAAAGAATCGGTGTGTTCATTAGGTCCAGTCTACTTCTATTCACATTCTTGCTTCCTAAAGTTGTTATACTGCTTACAACATAAGCCACTAGGTGATATGTTTAGTGATTAGGAGTATTAAATGATCATTTGACTTCATTCCATATCAAAAGAAAAACCCAAGCCAGGTGTCAGTGGCTCACACCTGCAATCCTAGCTACTGAGGGGGCTGACATCTGAAGATTCCAGTTCAAGTCCATGAGACTCTTATCTCCAATAAACTACTCAAAACAAGCCAGAAGTGGCAGTACAGCTCAAGTGGTAGAGCGCTAGCCTTGAGCACAAAGAGGCTCAGGGACAGAGGCCAGACCCTGAGTTCAAGCCCCAGGACTGGCAAAAAAGAAAGAAAGAAAACCCTTTCAAATATACAGTTTTCATGTTCTTCTTGCTTTCTGAACACAGCAGTCAAAAACAAACAAAACATATATACCACAAAGGTCCAGGGATGGGCACTAAGTGCTGGTGACCATCTTCAAAAGAAGATGCTACCTGCTCAGTAACTAGAACCTGAGTAAAGGCTTAGAAGGTCCAGTGAGCAGGGCATGCAGACCACCACAGCCCCTCCTCCTGTCCTCACACTCAGCTGAGAAGGTCCAGTGAGCAGGGCATGCAGACCACCACAGCCCCCTCCTCCTGTCCTCACACTCAGCTGAGAAGGTCCTGTGAGCAGGGCATGCAGACCACCACAGCCCCCTCCTCCTGTCCTCACACTCAGCACTGATAGATGTATTATGTGACAGCCATTTGAGCATTTTGAGCCTTTACACATGTGCCAGGATCAAACCATTTTAGGGCACAATACTTTTTCCCTGGTAAAAATTTAAGTTCACAGTCCTTCAGATCCCTGGGGTGACCTCAGGCTCATCTGCACAAGCTGCTGACACTGGACGGCTGCCTCTGAGGACGTGCAGTTATGAGCATGCGTGGGGAAAAACAGCCACATACCTTTTTCCTTGTGCTGAACTCAAAGACCACCTCTTTCTCCTGGTCTCTCATCACAGGCTTCTTGGAGATGTTTCCCACGTAGACATGGCTCCTAATGACAGGCAGCAGGTCGAAGGACGACTCAGCCACTTTCTTCAGTGCATGCAGGATGGCCTGATCATGGGACTCCACAGTTTCTCTGGGGCTCACAAGCAGCTGTGGAACGGGGCTGCTGGCCAGCACTGAGCTCCTTTCCCCTGCTGTGACCTCGGCCTGTCGGGGGTGTTCCGGGAGGTTCCCGTGGACCCCCTCCCCCACGTCCCCCTGGGGCTCCGGCTCTGGGGACTCGCTGTCCAGGCGCAGTCGTTTGGCACTCCTCGGTGCAGATGCTGACAATGTTCTTTTGCTACCTGGGGCCTGCTGAGGTCCCAAGTCTCTCGACCTACCTTGGCAACTGTCACCACCAGAGCTACTTCCTGTTTTGACAAAGGCCGTGGATGTGGACGTGATGGCTTTGAGCCCCAGGAGAGCGCTGACTCGGCCTGGCAAGGTCTTACCGTCGGCAGATGTCCCTCGAGACAGCTGCATGTTGCCTTTGAGGATGCTGAGGGTCCGGGCCCGGGCAGACAACTCGGGATACATGGTATCAAGGATTTTCACAGAATTCTCCTGCGGCACTGCCACCGCGGCCGGGCCTGGGGCACAGGGTGGGAGTCTTCCAGGCACCGGAAGGGCATGCTTGGGTGTGGCCGCACAGAACTGCAAAGGAGAGGACAGTATCCTCCCACCGGCTGCTGGAGACGGAGACGGAGAGGGCTCGGGTGGGGAAGAGCTCAGGGGCTCTTCTGGCCACGGAGACAGCAGAGGAGGCACTGGGATTTCACAGGCCGGGGAAATCTTACCAAGGGGAGAGGCTGGGGAGGAAGGACTGGGGAGGAGGGGCGAGGGCACGGGGGCAGCCCGTGGGGGCGTGGCTATCAGCGGGGCCAGAAGAGGCGGCAGTGGGGGCCCCACCTCCTGGCGAATCTTGCTCAGAGTGTCCACAGGGCCATCTGTGGACACAGAGGTATCAGCCTGTGCTAGAACGGGCTGAGTTTGACCTCTCTGACTTTTCATACCACTCTCTCCTGAAAGGGACTCAGGTATGTCGGTGTGAACTTCTCCCTTGCTCACTGAAGTCTTCACTGGCTTGTTGGATGGATCTTTGTTTGAAATTTTGGATCGCATCTTATTTTTGCCAGATGGCTCTAGTTTTGAGTTATAATACGTATGATCAGATGCCACGTTCTGAGCCTCAAAGGTCTGGTCGTATATTTGAGAACTAATCCATATACTAGGCTTAACAGGTCTATTACGCAAGCGACTTTTATCAAAATTGGCACTCTGGCTGTTGCCTGACACCTCCCCTTGGGCCGCTGTAAAGGCACTGCCACTTGGAGGTTCTTGAAACGGAGGGGCTGTGTGACCAGTCTCTGGGGAATTCTCTGTGGAAGCCATGGAGACAGAGGCAGCTTCCGCCTCCTCCTGAGCCTGAGGAGGGCCCACAGCGGGGGAGGCCGCCGTGCCGCCCGCCGCCCGCTCCACCTCTTTCTCGGGGCCTCCCGTCTGATCCTTCTCCACGTGTGTGTCCGTAACTTCGGAGGTCCCTGAAGACGTGTGGATATGAAACGTCTCTGACTCATAACCAGAGCTCTGCTCCATCCTGGACTGGGTCACAGAGACAGAGGCGGGGACTGGAGAGTCTGCAGGTGCAGCCAGGCCATCCTTCCCAGCATCCGCACTCCCAGCGGCGAGGTCAACGCTGAGCGCGCCCGAGCGGTCCTCAACATGCTCTTCAGTGACGAGCAGGAACTGCTCTGGAGAACGGGGTGTGGAGCCGCTGGCTCCCTCGGAGGGGCCACTCTCTTTCAAACCTTCAGTAGCTGGGCTATTCACACTCACGAGCGATAAATCACCACTGTCCACATCATCGCAGTCCTCACAGTTTGTCTGAAGTTCCTGCCCAATCTTGGTGAGAACCTCAGTCAGGGTCTCCAAAGAACACTGGACAAGCTGACTGGGACTTTTTAAGGAGCTGTCAACCTTTTCCGATTCAATCCACTCCTCAGAGGTGCCCGGTGTTTCTTCTTCACAAAGCTGCTCCTCACATTTCTCTCCTGAGACTCCACTTTGCTTTAGCTCTTTGCTCATCTCAGTTCCTTTGCTGGAACATTCCGAAACAGAGTCCCCTGAACTACAGTCTTGTAACTGACAACTCTCAAGAAACACAGCAACATCTGATGTAGAAAGTCTGTCTATGTCAGGAAAAGCACTGATGTTAAAGTCTTGCAGAGCCAAGGTCAGGTACCCCACATCCACCGCGGGCTGGTGGGCGGGGGCCGCGCCCTCCATTCCCCCCGCAGTGCTCTGGGCGTCACTGGCGATCTGCTGCCGTCCGCTGCCCTCCACAGCGTCGCCCTCAAGCTCTCCTTCACTGCAGCTGAAAGGCTCACTCCCGTCCGTGCTGCTCTCCTCTCCCCGCTCTGGAGTGCCCGGAAGGCTGCTGCTGGGGATGCCCCGCATCTCCTCAGCTGTCCTGAAAGGCACTCCGGAGAGCCCGGTGGCCGTGGGGAGGTGCAGCTGGGGGGAAGCTGGAGGTGCGGGATATGTCACTCTGGAAAGCTCACAACTCTGCCGCATGGTAGCAGAATCGTTTGCAACAGCCAAAGCATCGCCGCCTGGGCTGCCTGCATGCCCACAGGGGCTCTCTTCTGCAGGACGGTCCCCTGACCTGGTGGACTCAGTGGGAAGCAGTTCACCGCTCTCCACCCCAGAGTGGTCAGGATCTGGGGCAGGCAGAGCCTGTGAGGGCCGAGGTGCCCCACCCAGAGCCTCGCCTGGCCCCTCCTCGAGCCCTGAGGCTTCCTTGGAGGAGTCCTGGCTGTGGCAGAGGGGGTCGGGATCTGGGGCAGGCGGAGCCAGTGAGGGCTGCTGTGCCCCGCCTGGACCCTCCCTTGACCCCTCCTCACACCCTGCATCTTCCTTGGAGGAGTCCTGACTTTGGCAGAGGGGGTCAGGATCTGGGGCAGGTGGAGCCTGTGAGGGCTGCGGTGTCCCACCCAGAGCCTCGCCTGGCCCCTCCTCGAGCCCTGAGGCTTCCTTGGAGGAGTCCTGGCTTTGGCAGAGGGGGTCGGGATCTGGGGCAGGTGGAGCCTGTGAGGGCCGCGGTGCCTCGCCCAGAGCCTCGCCTGGCCCCTCCTCGAGCCCTGCGGCTTCCTTGGAGTCCTGGCTTTGGCAGGGGGCATCCTCAGATGAGAAAGACAATCTCCTACTTGTGGAACAATCAACATTTTCTGCTGGTACGGGACCACCTTGACAATCAAAATCCAGTTTGCTACAAGACACAGAAAGTTCTGGAGAAGTGCTCCTCTGGGCAGGCCCTTCTTGGATGTTTCCTGTTGTTTTGGCCGGATCCGCGACACACTCCGCAGCAGGCACATCATCAGCATGGTTATCACCCTCTTCTGGGGCTGAGGTCAACTCATTCTCACGGTGTCCCACATCCACACTGCCCCTCAGATCCTGCTCGGGACTTGCCCGTCCCATGGTGACCAACGCTGGGCTGAGCAGTAAAGAAGCAGGACTGGCATTTTCTCTTGGCAGCTCAAGTGTGGCTGAAGATGCCCCATTTTGTGAGGCTGTCGCGGCCTTCTCTAGCTGATGACCAGACTTTGGTTCACGTTCTGAGGTAGCACTTGGGCTTTCTTCACCGCCTCTCCTTACTGAATCATTGTGGTGCCACGAAGTGCTCTGATCACAACCACGGTCCCTCTCGCCCAAGCCAGACTCAGAACCTGTGGAAGGCAAAGCCGACTTAGGATCTCGGCTTTCACTCTGTCCACCATTTGTCATCTTCCTAAACACTGAATGAGAAAGTGAGATTCTGGTCGTGTCTTTTGCCATGTTTGCACCTGCTGTCTGCCTGCTCCTCGGATTTCTAAACGTCAGTGACTCTAGTCCTGGGCTCAAAGAACATAAGCGGCTCCCCGGGTTGCTTCCCTGCGGAGAGGGCTCTGGTGGCTCGGACTGCGCAAGTAACAGGTTTCGAGTTGGTAGTGTTTGTTCTGAATGAGGCAGTTGGGTGGGCATTGTTTTACTTAGCATATCTGCGATGTTAACATACTGTAGCTTCGAGGGCTGAGGGTGACTGAAATTAGACACTGACATGGAGGTCGAGGAAGACTTTGCGCCACCGTCCTGTCCCACTGGACCCAGCCCGTCGCCTGGGTCGTCATCCTCAGATTCCGATGATTCTGAAGTGGATTCTTGGTCATCTTCCCTTTCCTTTGCTGTTTCTCTAGGTGTCTTTGGAAAAGAGCCACAACCTGTGACACCACCTGATGTGGAAGGAAACTCATCAGCAAGTGTGTACCTGATAAACTCTGAGTGGGGTGATCCTATCTTTTTCGAAGACGAGGCTTTCTCATCAGAGCCAATGAGTTCATTCAGAGGCCTCTTGCCAAGGGACATGAAATACAAACCGGACTTCCCAGCCTCGGCCTCCCGGCCTCCTGACAGCCCGCCAGACAACTTTTCGGCCGGCAGGCTCCTGGAGGGGCCGGGAAGCACTTGCTCAGCTTGCACAGACCTTCTCCTCTCCCCGAGCCCCTCATCTGCCAGTCGACCTCTGCAACTCACGAAGTCTGGTGGCACCGTCCAGCGCGTTTCCTGAGCAAAAGCAGATGTGGCTGAAGCTTCTCCCAGGGGTGCTGCTAATGTCTTACACCCAACCGTTTTCACTTCATTTACTGTGAACTTATTTAGAACTTGGACAGTTTCTTTTGATTTGGGCTTCTCCTCCCAGGTACCATTTCCTTTATTTTTTCTGGCTAGGCCAAAACAAGCCTGTGAGTCAGCTGTGTCATCATCTTCAGCAGAATCTTCATGTGGGACAAACTCATTATCACTGGAATCTGTGTACTCTCCAAAGTAGGTTTCCTTAAAACATAAATTATGTGAATTACACACTTGTTCAACAACCAAACATGACAATCAGCATCAATTACATGTGTAATTACATGTGGAGAATTCTGTAAATCACCCAAGGAGTGCACCCTAGGCTCTGGGATCTTCCAACAGGCAATGTCTGGATCTCTAGTGTGATCCCACCCCACCCTCTCTGTAAAGAAGCCCAGAAATCCCGACACCCACCCACTCTCATTGTCCTCACATAATAAATGTCCTCCTCCTGAACCCTGTTCTACTGAGGACCGAAGGTGCGCCTGAAGATCACATGGAAAGGGTTACCTATCAACTGTTGTTCATCTGACCACTAACGTTCTCAAACTAAAAGTACACTATATACTAAATTCGACCTTGGCCATGGTCCTTCCTGCTTTCTGAGTATCCCTCTGGCTCTCCTCAGGCACCCTGCAAGGTGACTAAACAGAAACAATCAAATGAACATCTCACAGTCTATGCCTTTGGACTCATCTAGGATTTCCCACTGCGCTGAAGATAAAATGGAAACTCCTTATGAAGAGACCCAGGACCCTTCTAGGATGGCCTGCATGAATACTTCCCCAGTGCCTGATGGCCCCAGGTCTAATAGCTCCTGGAGAAATACTCATAACTCTTAAAGTGCAGTGAGGAGGCTCTCTCTTCCAGAAGCACCCTCTCCCCACCGGCCTCCTCCCCTGCAGCGCCTCCCAGTGCCATAGGGCTTGAATGCAGTGCCGCCATGATCCAGACCCTTCCTCCCCATCCTCTACACAACCATCCTGGCACTGTATTCTTTGTTGCCTCTCTGCCCCAGCCCCGTGCCTAGCTTGATGTCTAACAGATATATGAGCTATATCCCAAATTTATCTGACCCTTCAGCTAAAAGCTCTGCAAATCTGCTTCATCAAGACTGCTCCCCTGAGAAATACCTATCACAAATTTAAAAAAATATGAATTTGGATGAAAGTGAAGACTTCAGCTACTAGAGGCCACTGACACACAGGCTGTACCTGGGGCTTCTTCTAACACTGACCTCTATGTCTGCAAATCTGTGCTCACCTCGTTTGTTACCTATTACCACTGCTTGGCACTAGGGATAAAGCCAAGGACACAGTGTTCTTACAAAAAACCTGTAAGATAGTTGTGGTTAAGAACAAATAAAAATGCAAACACAAAACAAAAGACATACTATACGTGCTGACCAGTGCGCACTAGATGTTTTTTTAACTTCTTACACTGTGGTCTAGTAAGATTGGCTGAGATGAATAACTGCCTTGGTCCACTATATTCCCTCGGAGGACCACAGACGGAAGACAGACCCGTAATGAACTTAAATTCAGAGGACTGACTCACAGGTGCCAGCAAGGAAGGCAAGGGGCGCAGGTGGCTTGTGGAGGACGTCAGAGGAGGAGAGGGCACTGGAGACACAAGAGGAAGAGGAAATCTAAAGAAGTCAATTGCAGCTTGAAGATCTTCATCAAACAATGGAGCATGGGCAGAAGCGCCAGCCCTGTCCTCTTCATCAGGACTCCGCATTAACACCTCGTTAGGAGCACGGCCAGGACCAAGCCCAGCTCCAAAGGGCCTCTGCTTTGCCACACTTTCACAGGGAGCGAAGCTCTCTTCCACCTCCATGGACAGTTCTGCCTGGCACGTTTGCACACCCGAGGCCCTGGAAGGACTCCCTTGTGATGGAGACGGTGTGTCATCCTCCCTAGATGTTGTGAAGCTACTGTCGTCCTGGCCAAGTTTTTCTGGGGCAGGAGAACAGAGATACATAGATATCAAATATTCATCATATCAAGAAAACTTTTTTTTTAAAGAAGCATACTAACAATTCAAAGTGCTTGCAATATTTGGTCCTAATCAGCTGAAATGTTTTTTGAAAAGGCAATTGATCCGTTTCTAAACATTATCCCATAGCGTCACAGAAGTTGACTGATGACAAGGGCAGATGGGCTGACGAGACCAAATTCCTCACCACCCAGCGGGTAAGGGCCTTGCCAACTCATTCAGGCTCTACATGGAATTTTCCGTTCAACAGGAAAATGTGGCAGGGAATCCATTCTGTGCACACAAGCTGAGATACTACCTTCTCTCTCAATCACCCAGTATCTCGCCTGTCTGTGATCGTTTCTGCACAACACTGAGCCCATCACATGATAAGGCAACACAAATGTTACTAGAGAAGCTTTTTAGGAATCTGACTTTGGTAATGATTATCTGCAAAGATTTGTGGGTCCCAGCCAATCTTCATGAACCTCTGCTTACATTGTAAAGTGTTTTAAGAGTATTTTATAGAATATCAGAGCTCTCTGGAAACATGGGGTTATAAGGCTAATATTCATGGAATATTAAAAGAAGATTCAATTTAAGACAGAAAACATCTTGCAGTGCCAAACATGAGCACGCCACACAGAATGGAGTGTACCAAGGGGCATAGGATCTACCCTTAAGATGACCACCATCACCAACCAAACATGGAGAGAACTGAACTGTAAGGTACAGAATAATTATCTGAGCAACAACATTGATATACACAAATAGATAAAAGAACAAATAATGATTGGAGGACCAACAACATTTCCTTATGTAAGAATTCTAGTAGATAAATGAAGAAAAAAATGACACGTATAAAAATCACTACTGGACAAATACTCGAGCAGCAATTGTGGCAGTAAGATCCACTTAGGAATTCTTGATTTGGTGGTGGCAGTCTAATAATGCAGATCCACACTGCTGCAGCTCAGTGCCCTGAACACAGGGAGACACTCCCACTGAGGTCCGGCACGCCAAACCATCAGTTTTCTATAAAGTACACACTATGAGGTCAGAGACATGAACAGTGACAAAAGCAAACTGTCAGCCACTGAGCAGGAAATGAAAGCAAGATGATTCCAGGCTAGGACTGGACTCCCGAAGGGGAGAGGACTTGAGTGGGAAAACCTGTGCAAATCACAAGAGCTCTAGAGTTCAGTTCACAAGATTATACCAAATACTCCAGCTTTGATCTCTGGTAATGGAAAATCCGAGTTGAGATGGTAAAGGGATTCTCTACACTGATCTGTAACTCTTCTGATATGATCACAACATTTAGAAAAACATATGCATGTGTGTATGTGTGCGTGCGCACGCATGTGTGTGTATTTTTAGAAGCACTGGGGCTGAATTCAGGGCCTTGTTCTTACTGATTTGCTGTTCTGCTACATTCCCAGTCCTTGCTTTTCTGATTATTCTGTAGAAAGATTCTAGAAACTTCTCTACTATGCCAGCCACAAGCTGTGATTCTCTGGTTTTCAGCCTTCTGAGTAGTTATGATTACAAGTGATCCACCAGTGCATGGAGGAAAAAATAATATATTTTAAGATATAAGAAGACTCTAAACTTGCCATGTTTTTCCTTCTACCTTGGGAAAGATAACAGAATAGACATATCCTTAAAAGGGTGTTTTTAAATGAAAACATCAGATTATTAAAAGAAGAAACTCACTTCACTAACATATTAAAAGTGTAAAGTGTATCAAATATGATTACTTATTAGTACAGAAGGCTGAAAAGAATCCCTAGGCAGCCCCGGCCTAACTAGATATGTTTTAAACTGCAGAGACTAACTTAGGACTTGCAGCTTTCACCTGTCTGCTGTCAAGATTATTATTCAGAAAGCGAATTGAGAGAAATTGATTCAAAAGAGCCAGAAGGAGGGAGCCTCTGTACAGCAGCAAGTTCTGAATCCAGTAAAAAGAATCGACAACTTGCCCATTACCATTCTGGACAAAACTGTCTACAGAAACCTAGGAGGAGAGTCAGATGCACATTTGTATCACTTAGCTGTATTAATCAGAACTTAAGAAATAAAATAATAAAAACCTGATTACAATCACTTTAATCTTCCACAAGTCAGCTACTTTCTTCCCTTTTTTAGGAAGGGCTATTACTTATTTCCAAATCTGAAATCCTGAGTAGATTGAGAACATGGCAGAATGTCTCCAGGACATCTTTCTGCAAATAAAGAGTTGAGAGGAACTCATAAATGGTCAGAAATAAGCTTTCTAGTGGATCAATCTCATGAAATGATTTAAAAACACAGCGCACCCTTCCATCTTGTACATACACTTGCCAGACACACCTGGTCGTTGCCCAAATTTTCCGAATGTTCTTTGATGAAAGCTATTAAAAATTAAAAGTTAAATGTATCTTCTGGTAGTCAATCATAATCAAGGGAAGAAACTGTGTATAAACAAGAGCACTCATTCATTTATTTCAGTCTTTCATTGTTAAGATTCATGGAATATTAAAAAACCAAAAGCAGCCCGGCACTGGTGGCTCACTTCTGTAATTCTAGCTACTCAGGAGGCTGAGATCTGAGGATCACGGTTCAAAGCCAGCCCGGGCAGGAAAGTCTGTGAGATTCTTATCTCCAATAAAACCACTAGAAAACTGGAAGTGGCGCTGTGGCTCAAGCTGAGGGACAGCGCCCAGGCCCAGAGTTCAAGCCCCACGACCGACCAAAAAAAAAAAAAACCCAAAAGCACAGGGGGTAAGGGTAGTACTGGGGTTGAACTCACAGGGCTTGCTCCTACTAGGTCAGTGGTCTACTTCTTGAGCCATGTTTCAACCCTTTTACTGGTTAGTTTTGAAACAAGGTCTCACTTTCTGTCCAGGCTGTGTAGACCACAATCCTCCCATTAACATGAACACTTTCTGCCATGGCTACCATTCCAATTATGCGTTCCCATGTTCAACTGTATTTTGCTTCCATTACCTCCCTTTTTTTTTTTTTAAATTAAGTACTGGAGTTTACACTCAGGGCCTCAAGTTTGCTAGGCAGGCATTCTACCACTTGATCACTTCTGTTGTTAGTCTTACTTTATGGATTAATTTTTAGGTGAACAACTGTTTGCTGGACTGCGATCCTATTTGTGCTTCCTCATGGAGGTGGGATAATAGGTGTTGGCCACTGGTTGAGACAGAGTCTCACAGTCTTTTGAGCCAGGACTAGCCCCAGACTGTGATCCCTCAATCCCTGCCTCCGGTACCTAGCCTTTTCTCTTGAAATACCCGTCTTGCGATTTTTCTCCCCCTGGCTGTGCTGGCACCACTACCTTCTCAATGTCCCCCATGGCTGGGACTCCAGGACTGAACCTTTGCACCTGGCTTGTGAACTTGCCCAGCTCACCTGGAGTGTGCCTGCCGACGTCACTGGGGAGCCTGTGTGCTGTGTTCACGCACAGCCAGAGTTCCTTCAGGAGCAGTTTTACTTTTCCTGTGAAAGAGCAACGTATTAACATCATGCCAACTGGCTGAACTCATCTGGGTCCAAATACATTCCTGTGAAACAGCATTAATAGGGACTCACCAGGCTCAGTCATTGTGCACAAGTGGCTTATAATTGATAGAAACATCTACAATGCTTTTGTTTAAAAAAATCACTAAATATTGGTTTTCTTATATCTTAGAGGAGGTGGGTAGGCATAAGACTTGATCCAATCTACTTGTTGAAGATTCTGCATTGCACAAATAAATTCTTAGCCCATGCATTTCCTGCAGAGAGCTCTGAGACAGACAGGGACAGAGACAAGTCCGTGGTACAGCAATGTAAGAGTCTGGGGCTGCAGATATGCCACAAGAATGGCAGAGAAGTGTCCCATGGATGGAAAGGCTACAGATCCCTGCCATGCCGTAAGTAAACGGGTTGGGAAGGGGGGTCTGGGACTGTCGTAGCGACCCATGGATTCTGGGGAGCATGGGCCAGAATATGTGTATGTAGGAGCAGGTGCATAAGTATAGACACACACATACACACGTGCGAAAACAAACAGAAGCACATGCTTTCATACATAAAACCTTTCAAATCTGTATCCATCTTCAAAGGTATCTATTTTCCTAAAATAGGAAGAACCACGATTCAAGCTGAAAGGTCAAGAGAAGTACAACACGATTGTTCTAATGAAATTCTAAGCTTGTAAGTTTAAGATTTTAAAGCTTTTAAATTTAGTTAGTACACAAATTCCAAACATACCTTCAAAACCAGAAAATATTCATAAAAATATACATAACAACAGCTTATGGTAAAGTACGCATAGAAAAGCAACCAAACTAATTAAAATTCAACTAAAAATAAATTAAGTATTAGGTAATTTCAGACCATGTCAAGGTTTCAAGTTCCTTCAACTTAAGTTTCTAAATTTGAACATTTGTTGAAAGCAGCAAAAGTTTTCAGCCAGTTCAGAGACGAAAAGACTAATCTCTTACACCAAAATAATTATTCCCAGGAATCAATTACAGGTTTTAAGATAGTCTTACTTAAAATGGCAAACTAAGTCGCTCCAAAAGTGAAGTCCACAGAAAGGGGATGGGAAACACGGGGACACGGTTACTGAATGAGTCTAAGCAGCCTCTGCTGTTGCGCAGTCCACCTGGCATTTCTGTGTGTGAGGTTCCAAGATTTTGAGTTCCAAAATTCCATGATTGAGCAGCTTATCTACATTGTGATTTAACCTACCCAAAGCTTCCAAACACTGTAATCCCTTTTGCTTAAATGACCTGACCAGGATCCCTGCTTATTACGTATACCCAAAGCAGCAAACAGGGAACCTTAAAAAAAAAGAAAAAAAGTTACTTTTCCATTCTCATGGAGACTAATAACCAGCCTTATGCCTTCTAAAAGACCACCCACTCGTTACATCTAGTCTGACGCCCCCACACCAAGCTATCCATCCCCGACACAGCAAACAAACAAAAAAAAAAAACCTGAATGGGTTCAGTACTTGGTTGTGAAGGTAAAACCTCAGTCAACCACTATCATACAACTTTTAACTTCTTTTAAAGCTTCCACTATCAACATTTAAGGCACTTATGATTACTTCAGGGCCTTTCCTCTCCACTGCACTATCAACTTCCATATCACTAACACATTTGTTTAGTGATGAAAGATGTATAACTATGGTATGAAAGCAGGAGGCCCAGCTGAGTTTTTTCCTCATTATTCTGAACCTCTATTCTCCTGATAAATCTTCACTGTTTGCCCTTCTATTGGGATTTCCAGTGAGACTATCTCATCACAGCTATATTCAGGCAAGAGGGGCATGTAATACTGTGAGGAAATGTAATACTGTGTTCAGGTCTTCCTTTTGCATCTTCAGCACATTTTGGCTTTCCTCCTAGGGGCACTGCAAGCTGTCTGGGCCTTCTCCTAGAAACTTAATGTTCCAATAACCACTGGAGAATGGTCATGTCTGAAACGGCATGCGGTACACAGGCATGCACACAGGAAACACATGTGCTGTGGCACATCTGATGCTGTTTCCAGCGGAGTCTTTTGGGTGGAGTGAATAATGGGGACTTGGCCTCTGACTTGGTATTTGCAGTGCCTAAGCATGCATTTCTGCATAAAGGATGGCAGTAACTAAACTGTCCCTGCCTTGTTTCTGAGAGCAAGCCCTCATCATTCTCAAGGTTACACTCTTTCATCTCATCACATCATTATTTCTTAGTTAGAAACAGGTGTTGAACTGAGACAAACAATACTCTTTGAATCAGTTCTCTCATGTTCCTGAGAGTAATCACAATTTGTATTTTAAATGCAATTTAATCACTTTATATTTTAAATAGTTCATGCTTAGGTGTTGTAACAGAGGGGTCTGAAAAAGGTAGCTGCACATTACTCTCATTTTCTGTAACATGACTTAGAACTTCTGCAGCTGTACCAGAGTGGCCCTCATTTGGTTTTGCTGCAGTGTTGGGAGCCTAAGGAAACAGAATGAACACATTCCAAGTTTTCTTCTTAAGTTCTAAACCAGTAAACGAATACTGAAGAAAGGCTTCAGAACAAGCCCCCGTAAATCACATGATCTATTACAGCATCAGAACTTTATTCTTATAAAATCTTCTTCTGAGTTATTTTCTGTTCAAAATCCAACAATTATTCCGAGTCTATGTGAGTATGTTCTAGACTAACAGCCTGTGTCATCTGAAGGTGGCGTTCGTAGGATGGCTGGCGTGGGCATCTCTGGGAGTGCTCTGGGGCCGCCAGGCTGGCACCACGGCTCAGCATTGCTGCCAGAGGACTGGGAAGATGCTGCGCAGTCTCACAGCTTTGCTTTCCTACCTCCCTCACTTAGGGAAGTAGAGAGGAGGGTTTTATTATTACCTCATCATATTTGAGATTTTTGTTGTACATTAGGCAAAAATTATAAGCATTTGAAAACATCTTAAAGATTTCATTCCTAAACACGTCCCAGGCAACTGTGGATCCAGTTCTAGCTCTTATTTCTTCCCCATTTCTAAAAACACCGCCATTCTTTGTGAAGAGATAAATGGTCCATTTTCACCCTCGGATGATCAAGAGGTTTTGTTTGGCATGGTTTAATGTGCTTCCTTCATGAATTGTAACTTTCAACCTCAACATTCTCTTTGAGATGACCTGTACTCTCTTCACCAACGAATGCTCCTCTGCGATCAGAGGACATCATCCTCTAAACCCAGAGCACAAATTTGGGAGGGACACAGATTGGGATGAGGAGAGAGAACGATACCCACCAAATTAATGTTGTAATCAATGGGATGACAGATACCAAAACCAAGTTGCCCTCACATTTTCCATATACCTTTCCATGTAAATATGTGTCTGGGCTTGAAAATCACTAAGAGTGTTATGTGCCTTCTTGTTCTCACTTTACCACTGCTGGAATATCCTGACCTACTCTTCCCCAGTCCTGCTGCTTCACTTGGCTTTAGGTCATGTCACAGGTAAGTACAGAAGAAAAAAAAAAACTTCTGTGACATACTCTCACCTTTTAACCAGTCATCTGGGAACTGCTGCTGTGCTGCCCTGCCCACACCTGCCCCGACCAGGAAGTGCTAGTGTGCTGCCCACCCACACCTGCCCCGACCAGGAAGTGCTGCTGTGCTGCCCTGCCCACACCTGCCCCGACCAGGAAGTGCTGCTGTGCTGCCCTGCCCACACTGCCCCCTGACCCGGAAGTGCTGCTGTGCTGCCCTGCCCACACCTGCCCCGACCAGGAAGTGCTGCTGTGCTGCCCTGCCCACACCTGCCCCGACCAGGAAGTGCTGCTGTGCTGCCCTGCCCACACTGCCCCCTGACCCGGAAGTGCTGCTGTGCTGCCCTGCCCACATCTGCCCTGACCAGGAAGTGTTGCTGTGCTGCCCTGAACACATCTGCCCCCTGACCCGGAAGTGCTACTGTCCTGCCCTACATACCTGCCCCAAACTGGAAGTGCTGGTGTGCTACCCTGCCCACATTTGCCCCTGACCTGGAAGTGCTGGTGTGCTACCCTGCCCACATTTGCCCCTGACCTGGAAGTGCTGGTGTGCTACCCTGCCCACACCTGCCCCTGACCTGGAAGTGCTGGTGTGCTACCCTGCCCACACCTGCCCCTGACCTGGAAGTGCTGGTGTGCTGCCCTGCCCACACCTGCCCCTGACCTGGAAGTGCTGGTGTGCTACCCTGCCCACACCTGCCCCTGACCTGGAAGTGCTGGTGTGCTGCCCTGCCCACACCTGCCCCTGACCTGGAAGTGCTGTTGTGCTGCCCTGCCCACACCTGCCCCTGACCTGGAAGTGCTGGTGTGCTGCCCTGCATACACCAGCTATCTGACCTGGGACCTTGCTTGGTGAGGGGTGCCACTTCTTTTGCAGTTGTTACTACCTGATTTCTATCTTCCTCATTAATTTCCTCTACTGATGGCTCGCTTTGAACTATCCAGGAAAGCTGTTTACTTATTTGAAAGTTTCTCTATAGGTAGGCTGAGCTTGTATAATGATTTCCCTGCCTGAGTCTTCCCAGTGCTGGGATTATAGGTGGTCACTACCTTGTCATCTGGAGAGCGATTTGTTATTTGGGTCATTTTTCTTGGGATTTGAAAGGAAAGTCAACTCAATACTCTTCAGTGCCAAATTTGCTCATTTCTTTCAAAGTCAAGCAGTAACAGGAAAAAGCATTAAGGATACAGTTTAGAGTTGAGAATTAAATGTGTCAAGGTCTAGAGCTGACTTCATGTATTTATTTTCTTGAAAAAAATCAAATATACAAGACAATATTCATGCCATCATCATTCATTTCACTTGAGACAACACGTTCATTGAAAACAAGAAAGGCAGAATATAAGGATAAAGAATAGCTACCTGGGGGAGGTAGAGGACCCTGCTTTAAACAATGAGACCTAAAGCAATTCTGCTGCTCTTGTGAGAAAAGTTAAGCTAACCGTGGACTGCTATCTGGAAAGTGAAGTACTACAAGGGGTCCTCTTCCTCTGGGGACCGCAGATTGTCAGCCTCCCTTCCTACAGACACTAAAAAGATGGCTGTGGTACGACCATCAGTGTCAGTGGCACCAACAATACCAGTGCCTCACCTCGAGGAGTGTGAACTAGCGAAAGTCCTAATCCAAGAAAAACACAGGCTTATTTTAATCTCAATTAAGAAAAACTATCTATCTAAATTCAAGGAGGAGAAAAAAGGGCAACTAACTTCTCAAGATATACTACATACTTGGACCAAAAAACACTTAAGAGTTTTAATCGTATATGCTAGAAAAAAAGCACTGTCTTAGCTAGGTGAAAATATCATCATTTGCTAGTGAAGCATTTCAATTTTGTGTCCCTAAAAGAAATTCAAGTTCATAATTACCATTTCTAAAGTGGAAAGCAAAAAAAGCAAAAGGCCAAGGGTCAAACAAGCACCAGATGAAGGCCAGTTTCCCACTGTCATCCGTAAGGATCTCCACGTACCATCGCTGTCACTGTCGTTCAATCACAGGAGAGTACTTACTTCCCTGGCTCCAAGATTTCTAGTTTATTTTTCTCAGACCTCCCTAGAACTTTTAAAATACACTGCAGGCCTTTGATTCTAGTTTTCCTGACTTTTAACATTGCTTATAAATTAGGCATTGAGGAAATTTGATTTAAATTAGTGTAATAAAATGTATCCTACATAGACAATCAATTCTTATTGAAAGGTCTGAAAATTATCTCTACTTTTCCTTTCCCAAACAAACTACATTCTTTTGTGAACTCTTCAGTTCACTGTAATAATAATACAGTGAATTTATATGTTTGTGTGTGTATATAAAACGCACATGAAATTAGCACACAAAAACATATACAACTTCATCTAACATGAAAGATCTATCAAGCTCTGGCATTTTCACAGTCATGCGAAAGAGCAACACACAGACTCCAAAACCACTAAACGTAGCAAATAAAAGTTCAAATATACTCACTCTTATCTATGCTTCCATATGAATCACTTGAAATTTGTGTTCCAATATGTCTCAACCCTAAAAACATGTGGAGGAAAAATAGTTTAAAAAACACTGCAGAATGAAACAGAAATGTTTAGTGAGCTTTGAAGGAATACTTACCCTTTTCATTTTTCTGTTTAGAAAACTCATCAAGCCTTTCCTGTGGGAGAAGGAGGAAACAGAGGCTGAATGTTTAATTCTGGACAACTGAGTGCAGACATGGGCCCAAACACAAGCCAGGTGCACCTTAGCAGGTCGCCGGGACTACGGCAACGCAGCAGCAGCCGCCTGGCTCTGGCATTCACAACACAGAGCAACTCCAGGAGGACAGAGGACAGGAATTTCACTGGTGGGTGCTGGTTTATGTAATACCTGGGTCTTCTTAAATTCCTTCTCCAGTATCTTCTTTTCAATTCTTAGTTGCTTGAAGTCTTGAGTTTGCTTGACAGCAGCCTCTGTATTTAAAAAGTGCAATAGGCAACAGGAAAATAACGTGGTAACTTTACTACAGGGTTAATGGACTACTCAAAATCTATTCTACAAATTTCTCTCATCCTCCCCCCTCCCCCACCCTGGCTCAGTTCTGGGGCCTGAACCCAGGGCCTTGAACTTGCAAGACAGGCACTCTACCACTTGAGGCAAGCCTCCTGCCCCTTTTAGAAACTCTTGGCTATTTCTGAGATAAGGTCTCTTTATGCCTAGGCAACCTGGGTGCATTCTTCCTTCCTGTCCTTCCCTGTATTGCTAGGGACTGCAAGCATTTCACTAAAGTTAAATGTAGGAAAGCCTTTTGTTTTACATAAAACTTGTATTAATTATGATAGAGGGAGACCATATTTTTTTCCCCAAACCAACCTAAGCAATTTCAATCCCTCCCACTCAGGAGAAACCACATTTAAGGGGAAGATGGTGTTTGATCTCTGGGTTTTCTGAATTCAATAACCAGCAATAATCTCAGATGTTAGAATAGCAATTGGGTCCCAGGATTGGTTAGTTAGAACCAATCACACTAACTGGTAATCAGGAGACAACCTTCTTAATGCTACTGTAGCTATTGCTACCTATTCCTGGAATTCCCTGCCTCATGCTTTGATTAGAGATGGACTCATTAAGTACTTTTATTGTCTGGATCATTAGCAAACTGTGTATTCCAATTGTGGTCCCCAAGTGCCAGAGTGTGCACACTTCCAAGAATCTGATCTGTGCCAACTTCACATAGGGGTCTGTTCAGATACAAAGCTGGGGAAAAGGAGACCCCAGTGCTGCAGTAACTCACTCCTCTAATGTGCAAGTATTTGTTGGACAACAATTATTAGGCCATATCATCTTCTGGGAAAAAATATGTTATGTGAAAAACAAAGGCTACATTTTGCTTCATAGAACAGCTCTTCTCCAAGGTGCACAGGCATTACGGGTCTCTAACAGTATTTCCTTAAAAACAAACCTGCACATACAAGCAGAAGGCAAGACCTAGAGCACTGGAATGTTGTTCTTTATGTCTTCTGTCCATGTCTGTGCAAGGATGATGTTGGAACATTTCTAGAGTTGCAGTCTAACATATAGCTGACTCTAGATAAATGAGTGGCTGGGAATGCTTTCAGGAATGACCCCTCTGTAGAGCCTACCCCAACCACCCTGAAGCCCATGCTCCACACTACAGACGCCATGTCTGGAGCTGGGCACAATTAACGGGAGGCAGATGAGGTAACTGCTGAGGTCCACAGGAATTAAAGGAAGACGCGTGCACAGTGGGAATGCCAACCCCACCTCCTGCTACTGGATGTTCTGTCCAGGTGCAACCACACCGTGACTAATGGCAAATAAAAAGCAAACAAAACAACTTTGAGTCTGTGAACTGAGGATGAGGTAGATTTCTGGGGTCCTTCTACACTCTGCCTACTTGTTGAGGCTAGAAGCCCCTAGCAAAAGGTTGTGAAAGGGGAGAAGATGGGATGTCAGACAACTCCCAATAAAAAACAATCATAAAAAGTTCTCTACGATGTCTTTGACACTAAAAGTAGTCATTTTTTATACTAAAAATAATACTCTTTCAAGTATCATTTACTAAGAAAATATGAAGTTCTCAATATGATTCAATCCAAGTTAAACCATTTTCAATAATTCCTGCTTTTCCCCTCTGTGGTACTCACACTCACCAGGCAAGAACACTACTGCTCAGATCCTTTTTCACACTAATTATTTCATTATCTGTGTGTGCGTGCACACATGCGTGCTGGTACTCAGGGCTCTGGTTCTCACTCAGCTTTCTGCTAACAGCTGAAGTTCTACCACAGGAGCCACCGCTCCATCTCCAGTTTTGTGCTAGTTAACTGGATAGCAGAGTCTCATGGATTTTCCTGCTGAGACCAGCTCCGAACCATGATCCTCAGCTCTCAGCCTCCTGTGTAGTTAAGATAACAGGCACAAAACACTAGTGTCCAGCTTGCCCCAGTTCTATTTGAACCACGGTCTCAGTTCCGGCCCAGGCGTGCTCCTGAACTATATCTCCTTGTTTTTTCATTCCCCACAACAGCTGAGATAACAGGAATGTATCACTCTATCTTTTGATAAGATAGTCTCACAGTTATGCCCAGGCTGGCCTAGAACCCTGATCTCAACCTCCCAAGCAGAGTCACAGGCACGAGCCCCTGGTACTCAGATAATTACTGCTTTTTTAATAGCATAAGAACTGTCTGTTACTCTTCTGAGAACAATAACTTTTCTGAGACTATCTTCCTCCATCTCCATGTACTGATCTGACAACAGAGAGCAGGGGAATGTACATACCTGCTTCCTCACAGATTCTTGGACACAGTTGTGCAGGTCTGTATCATCAAAATCCACAAACTCAACCCTTTGGGCAAGCTCTACAACCTTTGTCACCAAGGATTTGTATGGCCAAGGGTTTTCATTTACCCAGTAGGAATAGTGCTACTTACCTTCCAGCTTCTTCACTTTAGCTTCTAGCTTCTTCTTCCTAGTGATCAAATGTTATAAGTTAAATGGCAAACAAAGCATAACAAAAACATGTACTATAATTCTTAATTCTAATTAGGAAGATTTGTATAACAAAATTTTAGTCACAAATAGCATCACATGTGACTGCCTAGCATTGCCCTCAAGTCTTTGGAGAGTAGAATAAGCCAAGCCAGAATGCTGTACAACACTGTGCCACTTTGAGGGCACAGTTTCTAAAATGGCTTTAAAACATTCCTTTAGCATATGAAATGTGCACTATATGGACCTACCCCAGGCTTTGCCAGAAACACATCTGTGATAGCCCCACAAGCTCGGTCATCTGTTCAAGATGGACTTCTGAGCTCAGGGAAGTCAGGTAACTCACTAAGAAAGAACTGCATTACTGTCCCATTACCTCATAGTAAACTGTGTGTGTACAGCTTGAGGTCTGCCACATAAATAATGTGGACATGATATCAAATCTCAAAACAACAAGAAGATGCTCTCCATAGCCCTTTCATTCCTGGTAACAAAGTTAACCATTCCACAGATGAAATCCTGTAACAGATGACATCTGTTATATAGTAGCACAAAGGAAGGGCCCAAGAACTGTGTTTTACATTCTTTAACATAGGTCTGACTCATGTCCTTAGGTGGAAATTAAAGGTGTAAGATTAGTTTAAGGTCACACAGTTCATTATGGTCAACAGAACTAAAGACAGAGAAAAGAAGAAATACTATTGGTTATAGGTTATCTTGTTTCAAAAATGAAACTAGTTATATAGTAATTTAAAAATGACTTACTGGGCATCGCTTTTTAAGCATTCTTCTTTCACACGAGCATATTCCTGGTGAGAAGCCTGATATAACTTTAGAGAGCTCTAAAAAAAAAATATTGTCCAAGTTAAAGTCACTGACCTTGATAAGCTGTTTTATTAGTACAAAATTAACTAAAGAAATATCTATTTGGCAAGAAACCAAAGTACAACTTACTGAACATTTTCATGAATGTAACCAGATTTGTGACAGATGGATCTAACATAATGTATAATATAACCAAACACAGCTATAAAACTTAAAACAATATACTATTTTAAGTCAATTTGAAATTGTCATTATAATTGGTATGCCACCACCAATTAAAATTCAATATAACCTGAAGAAAGAGCATAGAATTAGTGGTCAGAACTAACACTATGGAACTGGAAAATCATTAAGTGCAACAGAAGCTGGGTAAAATGTGTGGGGTCCACAGCTCGATGGGCCCACAGGCTGGGAAAGCCCCTGTTGGTGAGCCTCGGAGGACAGCCGAGGTTATTCATAGCACGCACTGGACTACTATCTAACCTCAACAATTTATCACCCACATGAGGTGTATGACATTTTGACAGGATGACTTATACTTTCAAAGACGCTCTCACTGAGAGCCTAATTAGGGTTTATCATTGAATCACTGAAGTCTTTCTCAACGTTCACATTTCCTCTCTAATATTGCTAAAGAGCTTATATGAAGGATGGATAGAACTGAAAGTCATGATCATTTCAGTTCAACTTTTACTGCATAATTCAACAAACCAAGTCTGTCTATAATCCTACCCCTATGATTTCACAGTTATCTAGGAAAGCAATGAACTCCCTTCGAAGAGTTCTATAAAACAGAGGTGGAGAATCGTTCTTCTGCTAAGGACTTTTGGATATTTACATCGTTCTTGGCCATATAAAGCTGCCAATATAGGCAGACGATCACAGCAGAAAACTTGTCTGTCCTATCAGTTATCAAGTGATTGTGCACACTTTTCACAGGCCGTGGGACAAACGTTCCCAACCTGGACACAGAAGAAAGTCAGTCAAAACTGATACAGAAAAAGCAACTGCACAGCACGTTAATCTCTTTTCCAGGCACTAAATACTGGAAAGAAAAATAACCTTATTTATTACAGAATAAATTTATCAGCCGGGCGCTGGTGGCTCACGCCTGTAATCCTAGCTACTCAGGAGGCTGAGATCTGAGGATCGTGGTTCAAAGCCAGCCCGGGCAGGAAAGACGGTGAGACTCCTATCTCCAATAAACCACCAGAAAACCGGAAGTGGCGCTGTAGCTCAAGTGGTAGAGCACTAGCCTTGAGCTGAAGAGCTGAGGGACAGCGCCCAGGCCCAGAGCTCAAGCCCCATGACCGACAAAAAAAAAACAGAATAAATTTATCAAAATTTTATAGGCAAAGTAGTGTCTTCACCCAATACCACCTATCAAAAAAAAAATCAATGAAAGGACATGACATGAACTTAACTTGAGCACTTACCTATAATAGCAAGGGATATGTTATTTAAGGACTCGTATTTTTGTGCTTTTCATGGACAATGAGAAACTATAAAGGATCAATAAACCAATTGTTTAAAACATTGGTTCATGAATGAGGACAGTAGTTCCTCAAAGGACATTTGTATTTAGGTTAGAGCAAAGACTCTGATGTTTCACTACCAGACCAGAATTACTGAAGGAATCAAACACATTCTATCTACTCTGTCAAATACCATCACTCTCTACCTCTACTGTCTGGAGTTTTGTTTGGTATTTCCCATGTAAGGCAAGGAAAATGTGACAAAAGCCATAAAACATCACAGCTACTAATCCTCCCCCAAACTATGATCACAGTATTAGAGAGCTAATAATCACTCTCAAGCCAATTATCAACTCCTCCCAGGTTCCCTACACACAGTGATAGAGTTAGAGAGTTCCAATGAACACTTATCTCCTTTGTTAACATGTTAAAAGCCCCTGTGATTCAATCCCAGTGTGTGTGGAGTGACTCTCATTTACTGATAATAGACTCTTAAGAAAACGATGCCTGGTACCTTCTTCTCTTCTAGCTCTGCTTTCAATGACCCCAACTCTTCCTGGCATTTCTGCAGAGGAGAAATCTTCTGGAGCATCTGCTCCACTTGGTGATGCAGAGTACTGTTCTCTCTGCAAATGGACAACACAGTATTGAGTTATTAAAAATATACACTGGTCAAACCTTTGATGGTCAAACCTTTAATCCTAGCTAGTTAGGAGGCCAAGATGTGATAATTGCCAATCTAAGAAATTCTGCCAGAGCAAAAAAACCCCAGGAGACTCTCATCTCTAATTAACCAACAAAAACAAAACAAAACAAAACAACCTAAGTAGAGCTATGGCTCAAGTGATAAAGTACCACCCTGTGTAACAAAACTAAGGATCAGCACCTACATCCTGGGTTCAAGCCCTACTTCTGGCACCAAAAACAAACAACAATAACAACAAAAAATACACACACACACACACACACACACACACACACGTGCATGCACGCAATGTGAGATTAACACACACACACACGTGCGTGCGCGCAAATGTGAGATTAACAACTTGGAACAAAAAAGAATTAAAATTTTTTCTTTTGAAATTCATTCCTTCTACTTACATTAAAAAATTTCTTCATGATTTTAGTTCTTCTACATAATAGACTAAGCAAATCAAAAACAAATACCATATCTCGCCATGTGCTGGTGACACCCTGAAGACTGCTAATGACCTGGTAATGTCAACACTGAACTTCATCGCTTTATGATATAATTAGGATTCAGCCAGGTACAATTCTGCTTGGAGTATAACCACATTCTACCTTATTCTAAGTAATAAATGTAATCAGAGTATAAAACATTGCCAAAATCTGACTGGAACTTGTGGCTCAAGTGGTATAACATTTATCTGGCAAGTATGATAAAGTCTTGAGTTCAATCCCCACTTTCATGTAGATCCACGTAGATAATAGTAATTAGAGTAAAGCTTCATTAAAATAGCAATGCAATAACTAAAAGTTATTGAGAAGTAAAACACAGGCTGTAATTTAAGCCCTAAGTAATAAATTCATTGGAATGGTGTAACAAAAACAACATTCTCTATGAAGAGTCAATCTAAGTGGATTTCATTAAAACCCATTTAAACATTTGGCCTGACATGTCTACTTTTAACTAAGAACTCAAACAGGGGCATCATCCATTATGAAGATAAGGTCACTCACCTTCGAGCAAACTGCAGCTGTAAAACTTGTTAAAGAAAACTTGAAGAAATTTATCTCCTGATACTTGTTTGGAATAAAACTTGTTTTACTACTTTAATAATCTATGTTTATATTCATACAGGAAAGATCACAAAGGCTGACTATATCTGAGATTCTATCTTGCCACCTGAAGACATCTATTTGAACAAATAGAAGACTGGGTTAAAATTACACTATAAGACAAATCAATCTGCAGCTAGAAGACAGATGACTAATAGATCTCCCCAAAAACCTGAACTTCATTTCTCAAGCAGTACACAAATAACACCTGTGCAAAGGGGTCATGCTCTTACAAAAAAGCATATACACCTACACTTAATGAACATTAGAAAAGAAATACAAACAGAACATAGAATCTATATCAGCTATCATTTTATAATTTCTGCAATCTGGTAACCTTATGTTCCCATATCATGAGTCTCAAATATTCTAAAATACCTAAACATAATTCTTGTCTTTCATTTTTAAGCATTCAAATTTATATAACAGTAAAGAAAATCATGTTTATGAAAACACACCCACAGCTTTCTATTTTACAATGTAAGCTCAAAGCTAAGAAGCACGTTTTTATTTTTCAGTAATTACTGTAGTTTTGCAGAATAAAAGTTCAATACTTCCTGCCCTTTAGAAAGAGGAGTAATAAATAAAATGGTTAGAATTACACAGAGTTGAAATAATGTTAACTGCCATAGTAAACTCACTGAAAAACCTATCCGTACTTCAGTAGCAAAGGAATCAAATCAGATGAGAAAGCCACACTGAACTGCAGCACTGAACAGCAACTACGGCTGTCGGCCACAACACTGCATTTTGAGGTCTAACTAATACCTATGTGGGCCAATGGCACAGCTATCTAAACAAGTAAATATTTATATGCTGACACTAGCCCCACACATCAAATCACAGAACAAATTTCTATAATTCAAAACTAATATGAAGACTGTATCTGCTTAGAATTATTCTAATTTTCATTTTAGCATTTGGTAGAAAAAGACTACAAGAGTAAACCAACATTTTCCTTATTAGATTTGTGAATAATTAACTCAAAATGTTTACACCATTTTTCCCAAGTGACATAATGAACACATACTCTCCTAAAATTTGACCAGTCAATCAATTTTCCTGTTTAGTTATCTAAACGTAGTTGTAACATGCTGCATACTTTTACAACCAAAGCTATGACTCCTGTAATAGCATGCATTTGTACTTAAATGACTGCTATTTTAACAAATAAAACATAAAATTAATAATGATTTCTATTTTTCAAATAACTCCAGATACTAAAAGTAAATCTGGGCAATGATATGATTTTATTATTCTGCCCATGAAAATTAGATATGGCATGATCACACTTAAGTAACTGGTAGGCACGTGTAAGTTCAGACATGCTAGAGGGACTGTTGGAGCAAGCTTCCAGTCACTGAAAAGGAGACCAGGATTCCACTGTCAGGACAGTACGGAGACCACGCTGGATCTGCAGGAATCTCTACAGTCAAACAGAGATGTCTATTTTGATGGAGAGATTTCAAATCAAGGGTTACCCCCAAAATACATGGGAGGATCATCTGTATGCACTTGAGTAACTATTTGCCTAGAGCTGACTTTCCTGCAGGCATTCTCCCAATGCTATGTCTCAAAGCCCAAACAGTATCTGGTAAGTATACAGGAACTGTCTTATCAACATAAAATCACATCATTTCTATAATTTTGGGCATATGCATTTGTTCTCTGCAAGTCACAGAAATAATTAAGTCAATTTCCCACACTTTAAGTGTCCTCACAGTATACACTGTGCATATTCAACACAAACACTCAGCAAGACCCAATGCATCAACAATGATTCCTAGAGCTAAACACACATTGTGAGATGGCACATTCTCAGCACCAGTGAGACATCTTCTTAAAAAGCTCCTAAGATACAGTAAAGAAACAAATGAGACTGTATGCTTTCCTCCTGTGAGAATTTGTTAACCACAATGACTGGTTGTCTAATGTGCCTGTGAGAAGGTTTACTTGGGCAGATAACCAGTAATAAATATGGCCTCTAAAAATGACTGACAGACAAGCTTCATAGCTCTTTTAATTATTATACATTTGTACACTCCCAAAATACAAAAGAAAAAGCCAGTGAAAGGATATCATCACACTTCTTCTGATATTCTGTTAACAAATTACTGTAACCAAGAAAAGAAGAATTAGGATACTTTGTTATACAGAGCATATACTATGTTAAAATCATGCTTCAAATATGTATCACAATCCTCAAAAGCAGTGAAATGACATTATGAGCTTCCAATGTAAAATCCCTTTCATCTATGTTGGTCAATCATGAGACTATTACCTAATTCCAATGATAAACAAATCTAACATTATAGCTGTAACATACTGTGAGCAAGTTTGGGGAGATAGCTTAAAGTTTCAGGCTGTATTCCTAGCTACTACTTGGAAGGCCAAGACTAAGGGACTGCAGTTCCAGGTCAGCCCAGGCATACATGTGGGAGGCTGAAATCAAGGGGGTTATACCATTCCAGGTCAGCTTGGGCAGAAAGGTTCATGAGACTCCCATCTCAGTGGAAGAAGCTGGGCATGGTGGTGTGCACCTGTGATCTCAGCTACAATAGGAGTGAAAAATAAGAGGAACAAGGTCCTGCACAACCTTAGACAAGGAACAAGTGTGCATGGGGGACACGTCTGTCATCCTAGCTACTCAGGAGGCTGAGATCTGAGGATCTCAGCTCAAAGCCAGCCCAGGCAGTCCAAGAGACTCTTATCACCAATTAACCATCAGAAAACCAGAAGTGGTGCTGTGGCTCAAGTGGTAGAGCTCTCGTCTTGAGCTGAAGAGCTGAGGGACAGCGCCCAGGCCCAGAGTTAAAGCCCCACAACTGATCCAAAAGAAAAAGGTGTAAAAAGGAGGAAGACCTGTGGCTCAACAGAAGAGCACTTCCCAGTCAGCATGAGACCTGGAGTACAAACCCCATACTGCCAACAAAGAAACTACTAACTCGAAACTTTAACAAAAACACCAAAAAGTTCAGATGCTAATGGGACTCCACAGACACCACAGGAATTAAGTTCTCACAGCACCACCAGGCCCATCCCAAATGCCCCAACCACCAGTCAGTTGGTCAGGTTCACAATATTCTGCCAAACACACGCACATATACTTACTCCGTATTGATTATTTTTTGTTTCAAGGTAATTAATGCTTCAACATATTCATTTAAATTCTGAAAGAAAAAAGCTTCAGTTAGTTGTGTTACTATCACAGGTAATTGTTTTGCTTAAGTTAACTTTATGTGTTATAAACACCAAAATAAACAAACTTCTTTTTTTTTGGGGGGGGGGGTCTGGTCATGGGGCCTGAACTCTAGGCCTGGGCGCTGTCCCTCAGCTCTTCAACTCAAGGCTAGCGCTCTACCACTTGAGCCACAACGCCACTTCAGGCTTTTTTCTTTTTGTTCATGTGGTACTGAGGAATCGAAGCCAGGGCTTCATGCATGCAAGGCAAGCACTCTACCACTGAGCCACCTTCCCAGCCCCACAAACTTCTTATTCATACTTTACATACACACATCTGTAGCCTATGGTCTCCTCCTCAGCCTCCACATGAAAATGCTCACACTCCTTTTACAGTAACAATAAAGATACTTCCATAGTGAATGCTGTATCAGTAGTCAATATATAGTGACTAAAACATCACCATTAACCACCAGTCTTTACCCTGCACTGTTTCTGAAAGGATTGTGACTACCCCAAATGACAGAGACTATTAAAAAGCAACAAAATAGTCAAAATTAAATAGCATAGGACCAGCTGGGTGCCAGTGGCTCCCGCCTGTAATGCTATCCACTCAGGAGGCTGAGATCTGAGGATTGTGTTTTGAAGCCAGCTACAGCAGGAAAGTCTGTGAGATTCTTTTTTTTTTTTGGTATGGTCGTGGGGCCTGAATTCTGAGCCTGGGCGCTGTCCCTCAGCTCTTCAGCTCAAGGCTAGCGCTCTACCACTTGAGTCACAGTGCCACTTCCTGCTTTTTTCTTTTTGCTTATGTGGTGCTGAGGAATCGAACCCAGGGCCTCATGCATGCAAGGCAAGCGCTCTACCACTGAGCCACCTTCCCAGGCCCAGTCTGTGAGATTCTTATCTTCAATTAACCACCAAAAAGCTGGAAGTGGAGCTGTGGTTCAAAGTGGTAAAGTGCCAACCTTGAGCAAAAAAAGCTCAGGGACAGCACCCAAGCCCCAAGACAGGAAAAAAGAAAAAAGAAAGAAAAAGCATGCGGCCAAGATTCACTTTATAAAAGAATATATAAAACACTTTAGGTGCCAACCACAAATTCAGTGCTCAATTATTACTTTCAAATTTAAAAATGAAAACATTGTTATACTGTTCAAATGGTCCTAAGATTTAAAACCAATTTTTTTCTTTTAACGTAAGCTTTTAATGTATCCTTTTCTATCCGTATATATTTCAGTAACAATATTTTTAAACGCAGCTAATTAGCTTCTTCATATGTAATACAAACAATCATCCCTTTATACCATCCAGACTGCCCCATATTCACTGAGAACCTCAAAAAGGTCTTTTTCTAGAAAAGCCAGCCGTTTTGATGGTTTCACTTATGGTAGTCCACATTCAGGCAGTGGGACAGGAGCAGCAATACTGTGCACTTAAGTGGTCCAGTAGTTACAACGACGACCGCCATGCTCTGTAGTTTCACCGGCTTGTCAGTAAGAGAGATCAGGTATGGGCTACAGGCCAGAAAGCTGAGCGAGGCCCTCCTGGGCCCTCCCCGCCTACAGACAACCACTCTGTTCCCACCATCTTTCCAAGGGGTCACACTCCATTTGGCAGCTCTTACCGAGGTACACTGAGTGCTGTCAGGCTCTCCTGCATAGGGATAACAGTCCCTCCACCCCCACAGAGGCAGGCCAGCCTCACCCGAAGCACCTGCGTTCCCACGTTCCGGTCAGGGGCATTTAAGAGGGTTTAACTAATGCTAACAATGATCTTGAGAGAAATCTCAGTATTCACTGCTGCACATTCATATTTTTCTCATAGTAAGAGCCTGTTAATGTATGTATCATGTGCTCAACTGATGTTTCCTCTTACAAGCTACAACATAGGGTGGGCAGTAGATTCTCAAATCTGTATGTGCTGCCAACTGATCATTAACATAGACTCACATGCACACAGAAGTTCTAAAACACAGAGATGAATGACTTTTGTGTTAAGCCTTAGTTCCCTGAATCATTTTACAAGGTTCTCTCCCACCCCCAAAGGATAAAAAAATTCTTCTGCATCATTTGAGCATTTTTAGGTCTTTCTTAAATATTTGTATCTCTAAGTCCACTAGAATTTATTCTTGAGTATACCATAATGAATACTCTAAAAATATAAATCAGAAAGGCAACAAATGAACTATTCAGTTGTATTACTGTATTTAGCATTCCACATTTAACCTAACGTATGCAAGATAAATCCTATGTAGACAGTAATAAAATTTAAATATTGTCAGGCTGATATAACAGGATGATGCCTTTATAATTTCAAGGTAAATACAGATTTCTTAAATTACACACCAAACCACAAACATAATGTATTTTATAAGCAACATCAAAATTTTATATCTACCTGGGTACCAGTTATTCATGCCTAATCCTAGCTACTCAGGAGGCTGAGATTTGAGGATCTTTGAAAGCAGCCCAGGCAGGAAAGTCCATGAGACTCTCATCTCTAATTAACTACCAGAAAACCAGAAGTGGTTCTGTGGCTCAAACTGGTAGAGCACTAGCCTTGAGCAAAAGAGCTCATACTCAAGTGTGCAGACCCTGAGCTCAAGCCCCACGAACAACAAAAACAACAACAACAAAATATTATATCTACGTGGCACGGAACACTATACAATTGCTAACAAAAGCATGGCAGTCTTGAAACAGTCATTCATAAGAAGAACACACAAAGAATTCCTAACATATAGACAGATCATACTAATCAGTTATAAGAAATGAAGAATACAGACTGCCAATTCGGAAATGAAGAATCCAGAATGGACAACAGGCACATCAAAAGGTCTTCTACCCTCCTGCATCAGGAAGTGTAAATTCCACTAACAAAGGTCCATGCCCCACCCACCGTACTACACTGCAATAAAAGATTCACATCCCACCCACTACATTATCCATCTTTCGTCTACTATATTGTACCAGAATAAAAACTCTGGCACTGATGTGAGGGAAAAAACCCCTGTACAAGAGCTGTAGAATCTGAAATCAAAATATATAAAATGCTGTTTACCTATTGTCAATCCTGAATTCTCTGTGTAAGTTTTCTACGACTCTGCTTCAGATAACTTGTTTCTGCCCCTTCCACAAAACTACCTTTGTGCTGTTTCTATTACATTTCATTTCCCAATTTGTTTTTACTGCTATGCAGGGGTATTATATATCTCTACATATACTGCTTGTTAATTACACTAGGCTTGCTCATTGTATAAAAATGCCACTTATTAATAGATACAAGGAGCTAAACAGAGTATGTGCAACACAATTCTTTTTAGTTCCATGTGAATAGTTGTAACAGCCGCCCACAATGACGGCTTTATGGTTCATCTGTTAGTCCTGGTCTTCCTGAATTGAAAGAGTGCTCAATGAGCAGCAAGTGAGACTTCCTTGTCTTAAATTACAATTTGCTCTGTTCCATGTTTTTGGTTAATATTCCTTCAACATGTCATGAAACTTCTACACATAGTCTCCTAAAAAGATTTGGATATGCATAAGTAACAAATTTTCCTAAATTAATTTGTTTCTATTTAGTTTAAATGCGTTTTTCTTCCACCTTTTATTTCATGAGTTGCAGTGTATTATAACAGATTTTCTAATGGTAAAGCAGCTTTACATTCCTGGAATAAAAACAACTAAATGCTACATTAATTCTGTTTACATACCCTGCTAGATTTAGTCTCCCAATATCCTACTGAAGCGGTTTCTCCTATCTAGTTCAGAGGGAGCCTTTCTGTCCTTTTTTTTGTACTATGTCCAGTATTTCTAATAATATACAAGGCTCATAAAATCAGATGCCTCTTCCTTATTCAAAACGTCTAATGAGAAAGTAAACCACAAATATGTCTGTGATGAATAATAGTTTATTAGGTTGGGTGACTATGTGCTCCTGCCTGAAGAACATGCCCCCCACCCAAGACATACTTAAGTCCTGACCACTAGCGGCTATCTGTTCTGACAGTGCACAGACTTTGCTTTATTCCCTAAACAATACAGTACAACAGCAACTACTTACACATTATTTGTGTTGTGTCAGGTGCTAACTTATCTAGAGATGATTTAAAGAATAGAATAGTCTGTGTGCACATGATAAGCAAATATGCCTTACATTACTCTACATGAGAGACTTGAACATCAAGATGTTGGTATCCAGGAGCAATTTGGGAACCAGTTCGCTATACAAATAGGAATATCTAGAGGCAGGAGGAGATTCGCAACCTGAGCACTGGTGATGCTCTGGGCTGGAAGGACAGACGCTGAGGGCATCACTGACCTCTGAGCACACTCCTGCTCCAGCATCGAAGTGTGTGAGCCCAGCAATGAGCATTGTGAGAGTACTCAACTGAGAAAGGCCAGCGTGCAAGGTAAACCACAGGCTGCCACTTGCAAACTCGAAAATCTGGACAGCTCCCTCCCCCTATTTGTTCCCTAGCTCCCAGTGCAATGTGGTTTATGGTGGACACCTGCTTCCTCTCTGCGATGCTACAGGACCAGTACAAGACCAGCCAGGCTGAGTCTCTGTGGAGTTTCCCGGCTGGACTCCGCTGGGAGACTCTGTAGCACATGCAGTGTGTGGGGTGTGTCTTCCCTCGGCTAGCTTGGTTGGTAGTCTTCCCCTGCAGTAAGCCACGCCCAGGACTTTTACCAGGCACTAATAACTGAGCCCCAGGGAATCACTGGGACTGGGTGTCACCCCTGGCCGCCAGCACAATGTGACGCCACAGCATCTCCAGGTCTCAGCAAAGGTCTCCTAAGGAATGCTAAGGCTGTACAGCATGAACTTTCACAAACATAAAAGGCAAAGACGAAGGGAGACTGAAGAGCCAAGACAAGGAAATGTGGTGTGTTCCTGACAGGAGTTGCAACCAGGAAGGAAAAGAGCCATTCTTGGTCCAGGCAGCAAATACGAACGATGTCGGCAAGGGTAGAGCCGCTCTACTGGTGCCAGCAGCAGCAGCACGTAGGCAATCACAGGCACTCAGTTCCAGAGTGAGGAAGCCCGTCCTGGACCTCTTCCTTTGTCCCTGTCTGTAGTGAACCCTTCCCTCCCCTGGTCCTCTGTACAGCCTGCGGCCTCAGCCAACAGTACTCTCCCTCCTCCAGTGACCTGCAAAGTGCGCCCTTGCCCTCAGAGCTTGCTTCATGAAGCCCTGGGCAGGCCGCACTCATCCCACGCAGGGGCCCAAGGATGGGCTCGCTGGGGATCTCCTACCAAAACTGACTCTATTGCACTTAACCTGAGGGTGCTTTTCCTCTCTGACTCCAACTAGAATGAGCTCCGTGCTACTTCTGCTCAAGACTGTGCATCAGACCCCATGCCAGGAGCAAGTACATCATTGATTGGTAAATGAATTACAATTCTGTAAGCATTCCTTGCCACTGAACAATGTGTACATCAATATGAAGTGGACCCTGAGATGGGGCTCAAGCTGGTATGATTCCATTTTGAGCTTTGCCTATGTTTTACGGATTTTAGACTCCATTTTTTAGGGTGGTGACTAAAAACCTTTAAACAACGTTCAAACTAGAAAAACCACCTTAATCACAGGGCCACATCTTGGCTCCAACAGGCCTAGTTCCCAGAATGAAAAAAATGCACCTGGTCCCCCTCCCCTTCACAACCTAACTCACCCTTGATTGTTCAGTTAAAGACTGACCAAGAAAGTAGATAGGTTGTAACCTTGCTCAACTGGCAATACCACCCGCTTACTGTAAACCTGCTTTTTGCCCACCAAATTCGCATGCCAATTCAAACCAAAATGATAGGATAGTTTAAACAACTAGCATAAGACAGACTGTAACTCCATTGGCCACCTGCGTATGGCCTAACATGATTATGCAATCCTTTGTGTGTGGTCGGTCACCTGCGTGTGGCCAGGCTTGACCACATGGATTTTGCCTTTAAAAACCCTAGCTTGTGGCCCATCCGGGGTCACAGTATCAGCTCCCCAGCCTGTGCTGCGGCCCTGACTGGTCAGGGTAGGAACCTTCTCAATAAAGTTGCTTCTTTGTTAACAACTTTGTTGCGGTGGGCTCTGTCACTCTGGAGGACTTGGTGGGCTTGCCTGCCTGAGTAGGGGTCTTTCTACTACAAATAGGTCTGGGAGAAAATATATTTCAGGTTCCAAGCAGTGAAGCTTCAACTTCTACCTGTGGCCAATGTGAGCCAAGCACAAGGCTATCTAAATTATAAGCTCAATTTTGTCCCACGTCAGTTAAGCACGCAACTGACTAAATCTAATCTAGTTCATGAGTGCAAGAGCTTCAAACTCTCATCTGGCTTCCTAAGAGTATGGCTGATTTGCACTAAAGAGAAGTTGGCAAACCAGGGCTCTCAAAAGCAGAATAAAGTGACCTGATAGGTGATTAACTTAAGACTTAATATGTATACAATCATCAGACCACACTGGTTTACAGGACTGAGGAAGTGTTGCAACCCACATGGACTTCAATGACAAAACACTGCCGCCAAGGAAAGTGTGGACAGGAGATGAGGAGATAGAGAAAACTACATTAGAAAGATATGCACAATAAACTCAAGCACTACGTTCAGATATAGTTCTGCAGGAAGCAAAATTCTTAGCAAAGCCAACTACTGAAAAAATAAAAGAATAGACATGAAAGGAAGCTTTTCAGTGCAAGCAAATGAGGTCAATTCAGAAACTTAAGTCCTTAGAATGAAGTACCCCTGACACAGACGGCCCATCAATTTTTTGCCAGATCATTTCAGTTTAGTAGAACCAATGCTACGGTTTCTCTCTCACGCAAAAGTTTAATACGGGTATAAAATACAGTCCCTGCTGTGGCAATAGACAGCAGATGCAGAAATAGCTTTCCTAAAAGTGATTAACTAACTAATTGTTTCTTCTTTCATTTTTATTCTTTTCAATACTGGGTGGCTCTATAATGTATTCCCTGCTTGTCTACCTTTGCTTTTCTCTTTCTCCACATTCACCTTCAAGGGCTACTCATTAGCTAGGTGGTTCTCAGTTTAACTAACACAATATATTCCTTCATTCTTCTTCCTCCTACTTCCAACTCCCAGTAAAACTCTCCCAATGAATGTCTCCATCGAAACTGGCTTCCTCTAATACTTCCTTACATGTATAATAGACCATCTAAAGGACCCAGTACTCCACAAAGAATAAATGAAAAAAATGGCTGAAAATCCAGGTCCTAATGTCATTCCTAAACATCAGTCCTATATCTCTAACACACCTTCTGACTTGTCTTGCTCTTCCTTTCGCCTTCTACTACAGTTCTCAAGGTCATTCATATTTTAAGTCTCTACCCCTTCCATTTTCCAAAAACCAGAGTTATCTTCACTTTCTCCTATTCAGAACCACTGTTTACAACATTCTCATTTCCATTAGCCTTCAACTAATTTGGGCTTTTATTACACTAGAATGTATTGGCAAAACAATTTATCTCAGTTATATACTCCTCCAGCTCAGCCTCAACTCCAAGCACTGTAAAGCTCCATCACTCAAGAAAACTGACAGAAGTACAAAACTTCACAGTGGCCACCACTCAACGTTCTCTGTCATCGGAAGGAACCTATTCTTCCAGTCTCATGTGTCATACAGTTAAGGAGTATGCTGGAGACATCACTCATAATGGCTACCCCTTTCCACTAAAAAGACATTCCAGTTCCAGGCAAACAGAAACCAACATACAACCCAAAGTCTAATCTAGAGGGGCGATCTGCACACTAAGGCCCTCTTAACTGTTACAACGTTTTAATGGAACACAGACACACAGACTATTTTATATATTGCCTATGACTGTTTTCACACTTCTGTAGCAGAACTGAGTAAACCGAGTACAAGTCCTCAAAGCCTAAATACTTATTATGATCCTGTACCATCAGAATGTTTTACATACTCTGGATGTAACTAAAACATGACTTCATCAATTGCTGTTTTGAGAACCAACAGTGGCATGATGGTAAGAAAGAAGATCAATGCGAAGATCTCCAGGTAACAGGTGAGAGGGGTTCTGACCATGGTGTAAAAAGTGAAAATGGTGGGAAGTGGGGAGAGGTGGGGGGAGAGGGGAGACAACGGAGGACTCCAGAGAAGCAACGGTAAAAGCAGGCTGCCAGGGAAAAGAGGCAGTAAGGGTGGCATACAGTTTCAGGCTAAACATCCTGAGGGACATCACTTTTAACAAAATGTGAACTATGGCTGGTAGACATGTTCATGAAGGAAAATCAACCCAAGACTGAAAAACACACTTCACATCCACTGTCTTCCAGCAAAACACCTCCAATGGCTCACCATCTCATTCCAAAAGCCAGTCACACCCTCACATAACCAGCCCTGCTCTTACACTTATAATCTCACAAAACCCAAACATCCATGCTCTCCAGACCTGCTGGCCTTCTTGGTCTGTCCAAGGAACTGGGCAAGCACCTACTCCATCAGTGCTGCATACTTGAGACTTCCAGTGACAGGTTTTTCTCCCAATACTCTTAACAGAGCACATTCTCTCACCCCACAGCTCAATGTTAGCTTTCCTAGGACTGCTGAAATTCCAACAGCCACTGCCCTTTTTCTTACCCGTGCATGCCCTCTTTTTCTTGTCTGTTTATCACTGATATATTTACTATCTTCTAACATTAACTTCTTTGTCACCCCACCTACGAGAAATGATGCTCCAAGAGATCAAGAATCTTCTAGGCCTAACAGCAAGGGATCAATATTTACTGAATGAATAAATTAATAAATATGACTCGAGATTCAGAAGATTTTCACCTATGTTTCTGAGAGGTATTAAGGTATTGAGGATAAGATGGCTACACAAGGCAGCCTAATTAGGGCAAAGAACCGACTCTTGGGTTTGTTCTACCCAGAGTGCCAGCGTTGAGCCCTCAATCTCCTGCTCCTAACCATTTGTAAATATGTGTGGAGTCACTTGAGACACTGCACTTAAAATAAAGGCCACACTTCCCATGATGGCCATCTAGTCTGGGGCTCTTTCTACCCTCTCCTCTGCTCGTGCCACACAGACCAAGTTCTTCTAGTCAAAGGGACCCCTGCCCTCCTCACCACCTCAGTCTTTCCACCTGTTAATCCCCCTTCCCGAAGATTCATTCCGCACCTGCTAGGGCATTCAGCAATGATCAGCAATTCACTCCAACATCTGACTGTCACTGCCTCCGAGACTGGGCACCTGACCACCCCCGCCAAGAGGCAAGACCACCATTCCAACATCCTCCTATATTTCCTTCCCAAACACCATAAAGGTCTTCCTTATGAAAGGTGATGTCCACCTGCTTCACCACAATGTTCACCGTGAAGACAGTGTGAAGGAGGCTCCGCCTTCAGACAGCTAGCTGAGGGCGTCGCTGGAAATAAGTACTGGGGGGCTGTTCCCACTGCTCCCTGAGGATCTGGAGCTAGACTGCCAATCCGGCGTAAAGAATAAACAATCTACGCCGCTGCTGTTACAAACTATACCTCCAGATGCTTTTGACTCTTTTAGTCCTGCAATTAACGCGTCGGTTAGCTTTATAAATTAAGTTTGGGATTATACGCCGGACTGCGGTTCCAAACGTGGAACCAGACAATCCACGCACACCACCTAATACCCTGCCTGAGAACAGCACACATTCAGGAGGGGGCCGGCGGTGCACGGCCTTCTCAGAAGGGCAAATCTCCTCGGCCCTCCACCTGTCACTCGCCGGCTCCGAAAGCCCTGGGGCTGGGTCGGGACACACCCGGAACGTGCGCGTCCCGCCCCCTCCCCACCCCGCAAGGCCGCATCCCGGGGAACGAATTGCGGATGCAAAGCCCAGCAAGGCCTCGGGAACGGTCCCCGCAACGACGCGGGGACGCGCGGGCGGGCGCAGGGACGCGCGTACCTGCTGCAGAGAGGCGCAGCCCTGGCACTGCGCGAGGTCGGCCGCCGTCCCGGGCGCCGCCGAGTGGGTCTCGCCCGGCATCA